CGTACAATGTAGACTTTCTATTTAACAAAAGGGTTTAAATGATTCTGTTCCTTAAATCATTATTTTACTATGCCTTTTGAATCACATTTTTTTTCCTATTTTTTAACTTTGGTGGTATGTACTTAGTATTTTGCTTTCTCATATGGAGCATAATTAGTATTTTTCTAGATATTGTCTTGTGCGATGCACGTGGTAAATACAATTTTAATAAAAATAAAGTGTTATTGTGCAAAAAAGGAAAAATATTATTGGCAGAAAAAATTAAATTACAAATTATAAAAAACCTCTTTATAAACTACATCAGTAAGTACAATTATTTTATGTTTCGCCACAAATTAATATCTTAAGACCGTCTGAGTTACTTAATCTGAATACAGCATCATATAACTGTCCATAAACAAATACGGGTTCATTTTCTACAGACACAATCGAATAAAATTTTTAAAAAATTGAAATAGTACAAACTATATATTATATAAAAATCTCTAATATAAACACTATCTATTAATCTATCTATTAATTAATCTCTATAACTTTTTTATATATTTCTATATACAAATATATATATATATATATATATATATATATATATATATATATATATATATATATATATATATGTGTGTGTGTGTGTGTGTGTGTGTGTGTGTGTGGGTGTGTGTGTGTAATATATAATATAGATTATATATATAAATAATATATGCATTACACCTCAAATGTCAAATTTATTATGCAGGTTACACATGCACACATATCATTTCAATATATATATATATATATATGCTTCAGGGGGTATTCACGTTTGGCATATGCCTGCTCTGACCGAGATCTTTGGGGATGATTCCGTACTACAGTTCGGGGGAGGAACTTTAGGGCACCCTTGGGGTAATGCGCCAGGTGCCGTAGCTAATCGAGTCGCTCTAGAAGCATGTGTACAAGCTCGTAACGAAGGACGTGATCTTGCTCGGGAAGGTAATGAAATTATTCGCCAGGCTTGCAAATGGAGCCCTGAACTAGCTGCTGCTTGTGAGGTATGGAAGGAGATCCGATTTGAATTTAAACCAGTGGATACCTTGGATCCAGATGGAAATTAAATATAAATGAAATAAATACCTTAGCAGATAAATTATTCGGAGATAAAGGATAGGGAGAAGGAACTCAAGGAATTACCCTTCCTTCTCTTCTCTTCTCTTAATTGAATTGCAATTCAACTCGGCTATATATATATATATAAAACAAAAATGAAGGGTCAGGAAGCTTTGTGTTCATTTCTTACTCGGAATATCTCACCCACACATTTATCTTCCTTACCATCGCTCTCTCTCTCTGCATCTATCTATCTATTACCTCTATGTCTCTATAGTACTTGATTTTCCAGATTTGTGATGCAATCATTGTTCAAGCATCACAAATTTGGCAATCATACTACCATAAATCTAAGCTAACAGTGAAGACGAAGGCTGCTACCATCATCGTTGTAAGTATAATCCTTCTATGAAATCTATCTAATTCGTTTAATTTAGCCAAGCATTTGTAGATTATGTTTATGAATTTCTTCAATTTAAAGTCTAAGAAGACATAATCTATGAAGATTTTACCCGATTTGTGCATTAGGTTCACTTAATTGTCTGTCTAGGGTTTTTTTTTCTTTAAATTTTGCAATGCATGCGTTGTTAGGGTAATCTATTTAACTTTTCCAGTACTTGGGTGGGGATTAAATGTGTTGATTGTTGTTGATGGTGGATTTTAAATTTTTTTTTTTTTTTTTTTGCAGAATGAGTAGCTTCATACATTCGAGCATGAAGAAAGCTAAGTATCTTCTACATTGATTTGTTTAATTTCAACCTAGATTTCATATACATGTTGTGTACTGATACAAACAAACAAACAAAAAAAAAAGATCTATTGAAAAATAGTCATTAAGTACTATTGAAAACTAATAATTGCTATGGCTTATTAATGTCCGACTACTGTTTTGTAACAGTATATTTCCAGGGACCAAATGGCTTATTTGAAGGAGGTTCAAATGGCTTGGCACTTGAAATGTCAAGTAAGTGTTCTTAAACTTTAAATTAAGTAATACTTATTTTTAACATTATGCTTTTTTTCATACTTAAACTTTAAATTAAGTATGACTTATATTAAGCTCTCTTGTTTTTATTGGATTAAAGATTCTACTTTAATTTTATAGTAAAAAGTAATTGTGTTACTTAATATGATATCTTAATTATATTTACAGGTTATGCTCTACAGTGTTAAGTTTATGCAATCCATCCTCAGTTACGAAAGTAAGTTTTCCTAACCTGCTCATTATTCATTTTCTTTTAAGACCTAGGACAGTATGTAACTTGTAGAACTCTCAATGCATTGATAATTTTTTTGTTTTTGTTTTAGCTATGCAATAGTTATCTATGTGTATGAATTTTTACACAAATCTGTTGAGTATATACATTAATTTTGACTGTTTAAGTTGTACTGACAGTATGTAACTGGTATAATTCTCAATGCATGATTAGTTGTACTACAATATTTCTTGTATTAGGCTTAAAATAGACTTTGTTGTTTGTAATGAAAAAAAATACTCTTTATTTCTTCAAATAAAAAAAAATTACAGCATTCTAATTAGTATGCTTCCATCTTTCAGTCAATTCGTTTAGGGTTTCTTATGCATGACTGTTGTCCAATTCGAAATTGATCAATTTTTCATACTGTAATCTCTTCTCCTTAGTAAGAATAGTTAAGCATGCAGATCGATTCTCATAGATAAAATCTCTTAATTTCATATTTGTATGATTCACCGCAATTAGGGTTCTAAATCGTGTTATTTTTAATGCTGCTCTAAAAACACCAGATTGAGAAGTTACGGTTAAGTGTGTTTTTTTCATGTGCTAAATGCTATAAATATATTATTATTCACACAAACACTCACCTATAATCTACTTTTTGAGGAGTAATCTCTAATCTATTTTTCATACTGTAATCTCTAATCTATTTTTTTTTATGGACATACTGGAGTTATTGGAGGAGATGGAGAGCATAAACAGAATCGGAAAGCAATAGGGATGCAAGCTTCATTTAAAGTATGAAAAAAGATAAGTTTCGAACTTACCTTTATTTTGCTCACTTGGTTTCCTTTTGATGCCTATAATTGTTGACTTAGTAATCTTCTTCATTGCACTGTCTATTGTGTGTACTTGCAACTGCTAATGTCAATTGTCTCTCTAGCTGAGGTCTCAAACTGGAAAACTATTTTTGTAGTTAGATGGGGCAGCTATCAGTAGATTGGTTCATTGTAGCAAATTTATATTTTTTCAATGATTTTGCGATTCGAAGTGGAACTGAAGGGTTTTCTCTTAATAGTAATGATAGCTGGCCATCAATTATATTTAATATCTAAAGAATGTTTTACTTTCCCTAAGAATGATTAGTTTTTACTTCACAGCCCAATAATTCCATTTTATTCAATTTCTGTATATAAGTTTGTAGAATATTGAACACATTGCTTCTTTGCTTCTAATTGTCTAAAAATCTTTTTTGTGCCAGTGTATCCTTTCCTTTTGGTGTTGTTCTTTAATATTGGACACACAATTTCTAACCTGTTTTTATTTTTTTTCTTATTTTGTTGAGGATGGAATAACCAAAGCTCTGGATACATTGAAGAGAATGAATCAGAAAATAAGACATCAATCAAAGAAACTAAAAGCAGCATGGTGATCTAAGCAAATAGGTTAACATTTTACATTTATTTTCCTGACTTTAGATTAGTTTTTAACAAATTGTTCTCAATTTTAGACCCAGTTCATATACATCAACTCGGACCTTTATTTGATTGTTGGATGAATATACCATTAATCCAAAACTTTTTGGAATTCTTCGTTTCAGCTATCAGTCTTCTAGTAACTTAAAGTACCCAATTTGCATTAGTTAGTGTATTTAATTGTTGTATATAAGTCATTATATAGAACAATTAAGGATAAGTTAACATTAAATTTTATTGTATCCTTCCCTTTATAAATATCTCTAAAAATGTTTTTTGTGCCAGTGTATCCTTTCCTTTTGGTGTTGTTCTTTAATACAGTGATACAATTTCTAACCTGTTTTTTTTTTTTCTTTGTCTTATTTTGTTGAGGATGGAATAACCCAAGCTCTGGCGGAATTGTAGAGAATCAAGAAGAAAATAAGACATCAATCAAAGAAACTAAAAGCAGCATGGGGATCTAAGCAAATAGGTTAAGATTTTTTTTTTCCTGTTCTTTAGATTAGTTTGTATGCATATAATTGCATAGTTTGTAAGTTTGTTCATTTTAGTTTGCAAGGCAATAGAAACTTTTAATTAAACAGAATTTTGTTAACAAATTGTCCTCAATTTTAGACCCAGTTCATATACTTCAAATTGGCCCTTTCTTTGATTGTTGGATGAATATATCATTAATCCAATACTTTTTGGAATTCTTTGTTTCAGCTATCAGTCTTCTAGTGTATATATATAAGTCATTCTATAGAACAATTAAGAGCTTTGGTAGAGTAATGAAACTATTTAGATACATAAATAATTCCTGAAGCTTAACCTAAGAGCAGTACTTACTGTATTATTTAAATTGCACCACATTTAAAAATATTTCAAAAGTTAAGGATGTTTTCCAAATTTTTTTGACTTAGATTTTTTTAAAAAAATTGCCTTTTTTAATTCTATATCACAGCAGATTAAAGTTAGGTGTAGTATCAAAGTATTTCTTCTAATTTAAGGATATTCTAACAGATTGAGTGTTTCTATGCTACTGTGCTTTATTGGAACCAATAGATTTGGTAGATTAAGAATCAGGCACTAACCTATGATTAGTAGTTTGTTTCTCAATATGGATTCTTTGAAAGCTTAACCTAAGATTAGTACTTAGATTCTGAAGTTGAACAATTTTATTGTTAATTTTAGTTAACTTTATTTTGTATTACAAAGATTTCACTTAAGTGATGTGTATTAATTCATTTTCATATGTGCTAGCAGTTTTTGGTGGACACCAGCATGGACCAAAATTGAATTTGAGAGTTGCAAACACAGTAAAAGAAGAACTTGCAAATAGGTGAGTAAACCTATCTTTATATTTTAGGCACAAGTTATTTAGTTCTAAGAGGTTATACTTGCCATTCAATGTTCTTAGTATCTTTACACAGTTTTATAGGAGAAGTTTAATATCTAATGGAACCTATACAAAACTACATCTACAAAGTATAAGTTCCTTGCCAAATTTTGTCCCTGGTTTCTGCATTTTAAAACCTTGAACCTTGATCATCCTTCCCAATCACCTGAAATGGAAGTTAGAAAATCTACAAAACAGGTTATAATAGTAGCAGTAGAGGCACCAATATATGGTAACAATGAGTTAGGCAATATGGTAACAATGAGTTAGGCAATCTCATCAAGATAGTAAACCATAATTAGAAAATATCCCAAAAATAATCTTTAATAATGAGGGATCAACAGGATTAGAACTAAAAATATTGTTTAGAGATCATCAGGATTAAATAAACCATAATAAGAACAAAAAAATCAGTCTTTAAGTCTGGATAGGGCAGGTCCACAACAATCAGTTTCAACCAAGGTCACAATTACATTTTTTCCTTTTTAATTTGTGCTTCCTTCAACTTCTTCCTACTTTTGGATGATGAAAACTCATCCAAAAGTGACCTTTTAATATCTCCTGAGTTGTCAGCATTGTCATCTACTTCCTTTTGTGAGGCTTGAATAGAGGCAGGACTATTAACTTCCACTCCAATAGAGGCTTCCTATTATTAACAAAATCAGTAAACTAATTTAGCCACCATCATAAAAAAAAAAAAAAAAAAATTCTAGAGCAGAGATTGCATCACTGTTTGTTTCCTCCTCAACCACCCTTCCAATCACATCTGCCAATTTAACAAAATATTAGAAAACACTACTAAAAATAGATTAAGGAAGATATTAGTAGTTAAAAAAGTAAAGATAGTACCAATCAATTCCTTGTCATTCACATTAGCAGGATCTTTCAAAGCCAAAAAACTCTTTAGCCGAAACATTTTGCAAGGAAAGCCATTAGAATGTATCTCCTTCACTTGTGTTCTATAGTTGAATTTGATTAGGAAGTCATGTTCTGTAATCTTGTAGACATAGTAGTTTGTAGAAGCCATGAAGTTCTTGATTTCAAATACTTTCCCTTCTTTGATTATATCTCTATACTTTCCAATGTCCTTTTAATAATACTGGCATGAATGTAGTCTCCCTGCGAATAAAATAGACAAAAAATTTTACACAGCAAAAGATCATTAGGTTAGTAGACAGCATATCATGAATGTAGTCTCCCCGGCAAAAACCTAAAAAAAATTTATACACATTTATAGACCATTAGATTTGTAGATAGCATGAATATGATTTTTTGAAAATAAAGAACACTACCTCTTCATCATGGAACAATACTTCCATGCTCTTACTGGCCTGCCCTTCTCCCCTTTTCTCAGGCACTTCATAGACCCTTACTGCTCTCACCCGGATTGCCCTGAGCTGGTGTTCCGGCTTGATATTCTTGACAGCAATGAACATGCTTGGCATCTTGACAGACCAATACTATTTCGAAAAGGAAGTAAACTGAACTTAATGTGTGAAGGATTTTTGCCATGAAGAACCGGGGTATTTATACAGGTTCATAATTCAAATTTACCATTGATTTTGAGCAGCAGCCAATGTTTTGGAATTCGCACATCTCATTGAATGTGTATTTGCAGATTGCAACTCTGCATATTCCGTGTAATATATATAATATTCTCTTGTTATTATTTTTTTTTTTTTGAAAATATATTCTCTTGTTATTTACTTGCATGTATCTTCGAAATTGTAGGCCTGATGCGTTTCTAATATTTATTTTGTTTAAACTTCCAAGAGTTCTACATTAATTGAACTCCTTGGGAACCAAAGAGTTCTACATTAATTGAACTCCTTGGCAGGGCCGTCCCTGGGCAAGTCTGCCCAGGGACGCCGCACAGGGCCCCCAAATTTTGAGGGCCCCTTAATTAAAAAAAAAAGTATTATATATATTAGGCAATAGGCATGTTAGGTTTCAACTTTCAACGTGGAAGACTACCAAAGCCCAAAGTTGAAAGCCCATAAACCTTTCTTCAAAAATAAGTAAAGCCCATATACACTACAAGTCTACTGTCTATAACACAAACCTTAAACCTATTATATATTACTATATTAGCGGCAAATATAGACTAATCTAAAGACTAACGACAAACAGAAACACGAATCGCAAACGAAAGAGACGTCAAGCACCTAGGTATTTGAATAAAGATAGATTCACGAGAGACAAAATTATAACAAATTACTTACTGCCTAGCAGTCTACTAGTCTAGGTATTTTAACTTCTATTCTTTTAATTTGATGATGATATTTGTGAATTCTATGTATTTGAATTAATTCAAATATTGAAATATTTAATTTAAATGTTTGTGTATTTGAACTAGATTAGGTAATTCAAATTTGGGAAAGACGACAAATTTTACTCGTGTGCTACTGATTCTTCAATTCTCAAACTCTCAAGTTCTTCAGATCTCTTGACAGGTAATTAAAATTACGTATTATTTTATAATTCTTATTTATTGGTTATTTACATGACTTAATAATTCTGATTTCAGAATAATATATTCAAGAATTCGTTTCTTGATTAATTATTTATTCGTAGAGTTTCTAAATAATTTTTTATTTTTTTCTTAGGATTTTATGTCTTCTAGAAAATATTCATCTGGGTTTGAGAAGCGTAAAAAGAAAAGAAGAATTGAGCAACTAACTCAATCTCAAAAGGGGGCTCTTGAAAAATTTATTACAAAAAAAACTCAAATAGATGAGCAAAAAGATGATGCCAAGGAAAAATTGTTAGATGCTAATCTTCATATAGAAGATCAAGATGATTGTGAGATTGGAAAGAATTTAAATGATAATGTGCACAACGATGACATGTATCATTGTGACAATGAAAATAATAAGAATGTTGATAGTTGTTTAGATGATGTTGGTCACAGTGATAAACCAAATGATTCGCTTTTATTTGACATATATGATCCAAGAAATTGGGAAGCCCTTGATTCTAAATTAATAGATATTCTTGTGAAAGATGGTCCAAAAAGAGATTTATCAATAAATAAAGGTCCTAAAGATAAATTCTCTAGAAGATTTTCATCAGCATTTTACACAAGATATTTGCCAAATGGAGAGAAGTGTGATCGAGATTGGCTTATATATTCAAAAGAACTTGACAAGGTGTTTTGTTTTTGTTGCAAGATTTTTAAAAAAGGTATAGGAAAAGGTGTTTTGGTGAATGAAGGTTTTAGGGACTGGACACATCTTGGTGTTAGACTTAAAGAGCATGAAACGAGTGTAGATCATATAACTAATATGAGAACTTGGATGGAGTTGCGTCTTAGATTACAGAAAAATGAGACAATTGATAAAGTGGCTCAAGAACAACTTTTGAAAGAAAAAGAATATTGGAGGAAAGTATTATTTAGGATTATTGCAGCTGTGAAGTATCTTGCTAAAAATAACTTGGCATTTCGTGGAACAAGTGGGAAGTTGTATGAGAATAACAATGAGAATTTTTTGGGTCTAATTGAAATGCTGGCTGAGTTTGATCCTATCATTCAAGAGCATGTTGTTCGTGCTAAAAATCGTGATATTCATCATCATTATCTTGGTCCTACGATTCAAAACGAATTGATACTTATGCTTGCTACTGCAGTTAAAACAGAGGTCATTAAAAAAATCAAAGAAGCAAAATATTTTTCAGTGATATTAGATTGTACTCCTGATGTGAGCCACCAAGAACAAATGTCTTTGATTTTAAGATGTGTGGATATATCAACATATCCAATTAAAATAGAAGAGTTCTTCTTGGAATTCTTGGTTGTGAATGACACTACTGGCCAAGGTCTTTTTGAAGTATTACAAAATGTGTTGATATCACTTGATCTTGATATAGATAATGTAAGGGGACAAGGTTATGACAATAGGTCAAATATGAGAGGGAGACATCAAGGTGTACAAAAAAGACAATTGGATATAAATCATAGAGCATTTTATACTCCTTGTGATAGTCATAGTCTTAACTTGACTTTGTGTGACGTTGCAAATAGTTGTGGCAAAGCAAGAGATTTCTTTGGAGTAGTGCAACGTATTTACACAATATTTGCTAATTCCACAAAGAGGTGGCATATCTTGAAAAGTAATGTAACAAATCTAACTCTTAAGCCATTGTCATCTACTCGATGGGAAAGTCGTGTGGAAAGTGTTAAAGCAATTAGATATCAAGTTAGTGATATTCGAGAAGCCCTACTTCAAGTGGCAGATACAGACAGTGATTCTAAAATTCAAAGTGAGGCAAGATCTTTAGCTACAAATGAGCTTGGTAACTTTGAATTTTTGCTAGCCATAATCATTTGGTTTGAAATCTTATATGCGGTTAATGTAGTTAGCAAGCAATTACAAACAAAAGATATGCTTCTTGATGTTGCTATTAATCAAATTAAAGGGTTAATTTCTTTCTTCAAGAATTATAGAGAAAATGGGTTTTCTACCGCCATGGATATTGCAAAGGAAATTGCCACAGAATTAGAAATTGAGCCAGTGTTTCCTCAAAAGCGAAAAATTCGTAGAAAAAGACAATTTGATGAGAGTGCTGATGATACTTCATTATCTCTAGAAGAATCTTTTAGGGTTGATTATTTTTTATACATTGTAGATCAAGCTATTATTTCATTGACCCAGAGGTTTGAGCAATATGAAGTATATGAAGGAACATTTGGTTTTTTGTTTAGTTCTCACAAGTTACAAACGATGGCTGATATGGATTTGAAATCTTGTTGCATTTGTTTGGAAGCAGCTCTTAAGAGAGATGAACAGTGTGGTGATATTGACGGAAATGAATTGTATATTGAGCTAAAATTGCTTAGAGAGATGTTATCGAATGAAGAAAATATAGGAGCAGTGGGTATATTGAATTCATTGAAACAGATGGGTTGTTTTCCAAATGCTACTATTGCATATCGAATATTATTAACTATCCCAATTACTGTTGCATCTGCAGAAAGGAGTTTTTCAAAGTTGAAATTGTTGAAATCTTACTTACGATCAACTATGCTGCAAGAGAGACTCAATGGATTAGCATTAATCTCTATTGAAAATGAGATTTTGGAAGAAGTTGATATCAAAAGTTTGATTGATGATTTTGCGTCTAAGTGTGCACGACGCATGTCACTTTTTAAATGAAATTTTAGATGTATTTTTTATACAATATTTATAATTTGAATTTTTGACACAACTTTTTGAACAACTATTATTTATATATAAAAATTACTTGAAAAAAAGGGGCCCAAATTGAGATATTGCACAGGACCCCCATTTTGATTGGAACGGCCCTGCTCCTTGGGAACCAAGGAGTGTATGCTAAGTTAATACGAATAGTTGCCTTTTGAAAACGGCTGTGCGTACTACCAATGCATAATCACATAACACGCGCAGAACAAATAACCTCTTAGATGGATAAATATCAATAAACCAAAACTGCGTCGTTTTCATTGGGCGGGAAACAATGATTGGCAAAACTTCTTGCTTTATTATAGAGTTAGATGGTTTGGAATTCGTCTTTCTAGTAATCATTATCGTCATTGTTTTTTTTTTTTCTGTTTATTTTACTTATTGCGCAATGTATAATCTCTATGACGCACACTTATTTCCTGGTTAGTTTAACAGACTTGCACAATGTGATACTTTATGGTTGCACATCCTATTCCGCTCTGAATTTCAAATTAACCAAGTTCTAGTCCACTTAACTGTTGTTACATTTTTTTTTTTATTGAAGTTGCATTTTTATAATCACTTATGTTGCACAGTTTGTCATTCAAATTCGTTTTCATTTGCATATCTGATTAATTAATATTTTACACAACTTCTTTAGGGTGGATAACCATTTAGCAAATCTTTGATCATTAACAACTACACTTAAAATTGCATTACCAAAAACCTCCTCATCCTTGCACATACTGGTTCTGAGTGGTATTTCATATTCACACATTTTCTTACACCTTCGTTGCACGATTGCTAAATCATGCATTACCCTTTTATCGAGATGCTAACAAATTTTAAATACTTGCAAATTGAATTTGTAGTAAGCCGCAAACATTAGCCAGTAGCATGTTTGTGTGCGTAGTTTTGTCACTTTCTGTCAGTAATAGTAATGACACAACTTTTATATTAAAATAAATTATTGCACATAAAATTGAATAAATAGAAACCACTACGTTGCACAAGTCTCTACTGGAAATTTATTCATTGTCATGCTCTTTCTTGTCATCTAAGAACGTACCCAACATGTCTTTCTGCTTACATAACATAATAGCAGTTAGTAACTCAAGTTAAGTTACCATCCTGCACTATCACGATCAATAGCTGAAGTTCGAATTATATTCAAAATGCACAATACTCATGGTAATGCACAATACATAGTACCATATATGCACAATACATAATACCATATGCACCCGAGTGCATGTCAATATAGATATGAGTGCAGCTTGTGCACTTGTGACCGACTAACAGTACTTAGGTGTGCATTCTAGAGTAAGAACATGTGCATATCAGGGGAGATCCGTGTGCAAATTAAGGAATGAGTGTGTGC